GGTTACATATGCTGATATCACAATCAACATTAGATGGAATCCTGCTCGTTCCCAGTAATTAATTACATAAATTAATTAAAAATAAACAAATGTCATTTTTTGAAAAACTAATTGCTAATAGTTTCATTGTGATCAATACTCACTTCTGAATCAGAAATCTGGAATCTGATATCCAGTTCTTTATCAAGGTTAAATCGAACACTTTTCCGTTGTTCCTCCTCCAACTCCTGTTTTCTCCAGAGTTGCTTCTCTTCAGCTATTCAAATACATTTTACAAAAATTACATTTTAGTTGACATTTTAGATAGTGCAGATAATAAAATGTTAATGATTAATAAAATAATACTAAAAGATTAGAAATTAAAAATTATTAAAATAAGACATTAAACATTTCAAATGATATGAAAATTTGTATCGAGAATGAAAAAAATCAGTAGATTTAATGACTAAAATGTGAAAACAAGTTGATATATAGAGGAATTACTCTAAGAAGGGACCAATTTGGCAGGTCGGGAAACAAATGAACATCATAGAGAGTGATGACATTGCAAGAGATGGTAATGAAAACTATTTACTAATGAGCTAACTGTAAATGAACCCACTGACAAAATGAGTGGGTGTACATAACTTGCAGTCATGTTGTCAGCCATTGCCAAGCAGTAGTTGTCAAAATGGTCCCTTCTTATAAAAATCTATTTGTACTCACAAGACATTTCCCGCGGGTCCAGATCCCACAGAGACCTGTTCTGGGGAGACTTTGGAAGAGCCTCCCCTCCCCTCAAAATACTTTTTGGTACGGGGTCGTTTGGATCAGAATTTGTTACTACTTCTATCACAGGTGGCGGTTGCCCTGGGCTGACTAGAGGTGTTTCCGGGGTGTCGGGAGTTCTTGCTTTGTTTGATTTTAAGAATATTGATCCACCACCTACAGCACAAAATATATTACTTCTACCTTTACTGGGAGACAAAGAAGAAACATATTATCTGACTTTCCCTCTGTATTTCATGTGATGACAGTCACATGAATAGGTAATTTAAATAACATATACTTAGTTATATTTCATAGATATTTATCATTCACTCTAATAGTTAGAAATTAAAAAGTTGTTCTTGTAATTGTTAACTTTTATATTATTTAGACCATATAAAGTAAAATTGAAGATTTACATTTTAGAACTTCTAAGAGTTGAAAATAAAATTTTATGGTTCCTGATCTTTAGATGTTTGAATTCTATTTAAGATATTCTATTAACAATTCACAGTAGTTTGAAAGTCAATTAATAATTAAAAAGTTAGGATTCAGTATTTTGATAGGATATATAAAAGTGACGAGGGCGGGAGAGATAGGGAAAGAGAGAGAGGAGAGAGGGGGGACGTGAGTGAGAGGGTGAGGGGGAAAGAGATAGAAAGGAAAAGAGAGAAGGAGGGAGAGAGAGGGAGGAGGGTCGGAGTGAAAATATAAAATTGACTGAGAATGTCAATTGAATATCTTTATCACAAAAAATCATGAGAAAATGGAGAAGAAATGTGGAATGAAAAACAAAGCAAGAATGAAAAGAAATTAAGATAGAAATGGAGAGTTAGATGAAGAAATGGAAAACAAGGAGGGAATTGAATGCAAGGAAATAATGCAAAAATGAGAGGTCAAGAAAGAATAGCATGAAAACGTTAGGAAGGGGGGAGATCAGGAAACAAGAAATTAATAGAACATAATGAAGATGTGAAAGAGAAAGTGAAGCATTGTGTAAAAGAGGAAACAAGCTAGGAGATGTGAGAGTGAAGACAGAGAAGAGATGACAGCGAGAGGGAGAGAGCAGGAGGGGTGGGAGTGTGTGTGGGGG